CTTTGATAAATGTAAACTAATGCGAACCTTACAATTAAATTATTAATTCCTTCGTATATTATTGGTTTAAGTTGTCGAAAATTAATATTTCAATTGTAAGGTTCGCATTAGCATACATTTATAAGAGTGGAGAAAAGTATATGCATTTTTTAATAGTTTCTTGAATATGGCTCTTTGAAGACGAAAAAGCATAGATTTTCTTACAAAATGACTGATAACTAAGAAACTAATCCAAATTTTTGAAAAAGAAAAAAAATACTTCTTCATTATGTCAAAACACAATTATGTGCCGAGTTTCGTGCCTGGGCGAGGCTTATGGGGCGATATATTGTGATTACAGACAGACACACACACAGCCGCGTTTATTATTATGTATAGATAATTTTGTATTTTACCAGAAATAATTACATATACGGTTTTCTATCTAATCGACAGAGATGGAAATAATTTTGATATTTCTGCTGCCTACTATGCTGAAATGTCCTGAAGTCATACATATGGTGGTGCGAGTGATTTAATGTCTGCTGGACAATTATTATTATAATTTATTACATAGAGAACTTTGACAATGTTGCGGACATCTCTTGAAAGGTACTATCACAGGAGAAACCACAGGAAACAGCTAGTCTATGTATAAAAGTCTAACGTAACACCAGAAAAGGAAAGCTTTTCTATCGTCCCGTAAGGGCGATGGCTCAAGGGACAGAGCGTTCGCCTTCCAATGTGTTGGACCGGGTTGAATCCCAGCGATAGCTGTTCGATTCCAAATCCGAACCGGCTCGCACCGACCGCAGTGACGTAAAATATCCTCAGTGCTTGACGGATCATGGGTTAGAGTGTCCTTGCTATCAGGCTAACAGTGGGAGGTTTTCTTCATCGCCATGTAACGCAAATGCTGCTTTGTTCCATCAAGAAGTCCTCTACGAAGGCAAATTTCTCAAAAGGCTTGATCCAGAAGTTCCCTTGTCTTCTGAATAGGGTTCAAAATTTCAAGGATATGGAGTTGAACATTAGTAATCGTAAACCCGAAATCAGGTCTGCTGTTCTTCGAGGGTTATAAAACAATATATCAGTTACATTAAAAAAACGAACATTTAAATCATTAATAAACTGCAAATAGTATTTTACACTTAAATAACCTAAAGAATGAATTTCAAGAATCAGATCAGGAGCAGTAAATATGAGTAGAATGTTATCATTTCCTTTCATTTAA